ACCTACAACCAAGATTACTTTATCCAGCAAAGCTATCATTCAGAACTGAAGGTCAGATAAAGAGCTTCACAGATAAGAAAAATGGTAAAGAGTTCATTACCACCAAACCAATATTATATGAAATGCTGCATGCATATAAGCATAACAAATGGACATAAGACACTGGGGGATAGGGAAGGCTAGGGGACTGTCAAGGGCGAGGGGGAAAAATGGACACATATGTAATACCCTTTGTAATACTTTAAGCAATAAAAAAAAAGAAAAAAGAAAATAAATAAAATAAAATCAATCAATAACTTTAAAAAAATAATTAAAAAAATAAATAAAAGAAGAGAAAGAAGAAGAAAAAGATAAAGATAAAAAATATGAACAACAAAATGGCAACAAATACATATCTATCAACAATTGAATCTAAAAATTCAGAATAAACAAATGCAAAATCTAATGAACAGAATAAACAGGTGAATAAAATAGAATCAGAGGCATAGAAATAGAATAGACTGATGATTCTCAGAGGGAAGGAAGGATGGTGGGCAGGAAGAAATTAAACAAAGATCTTATGTGTATACTAGTGGCCCGGTGCATGAATTTGTGTGCATTGAAAGGATATTAATTAGAAGGTGGCCGGTGGAGTGGGACTGAGCAAGATGGGCTGGACATGCCCTGGAGCCAACCTCCCATGGTCCCTCTCAGGCTGACTGTACCTGGGTGGCACCGTGGCTCGAAGGGCATCTGCAGTCACCGCACCTCCACAGTAATCTAGATTCGGGGCCGACAGTGCCCCAGCAACAACCTAACCCATGGCCAAAGGTTGAATTGCACAGCCCCATGAGGAATCGGGCTCTCTCCTCTCTGGTTCCGGGATGCATCACCCGAGAACTGCCACTGCCAAATCACCACAGCTCAGCAGCTCCTGCATTGAGCATCTGTCCCCTGGTGGTCAGTGAATGTCATATCTACCAGCCAATCAGATGGTCAGATAGTTGCACAGTCACTTAGCCTTTTATATAGAGAGATATGCATTATCTATGAACACAGACAATAGGGTAGCAAAAGCCTGAGGTGGGGCAGGACCCAGGTGGAGTGGAGCAATAGGGGGAAAAAGAGGGACATCTGTATAATCTCAACAATAAAGATTTAAAAAAAATTTAAAAAAGAAACAAAATGCTAGTGATCAGAAATACTTGTCCCACTTAAAAATAATTGTCAATATCCATGGATCTCCCTTTTGAACCAAGTGCTATCTAGAGACAGAGAAATGTAAAATTAGAAAGAATCTTGAGAGCTGAATTGGTTGTTATTCCAATTTTTCACAAGGGCTCCTAAGTGTAATTGATAAATCACCATCACCAAGTGCAACTATCTTTTTTTTTTTTTAAGAAACCTGCTTTGTAGGACATGTGTCAATCAGCAGATGAGCAAAAGTAACGTGTTCAGATGCTTCTCACAATGAGCTTGCCATCACCTACACCAGGTACAGTACTACATTATACTTCAAAACACTCAGGACTCTATGAGGCTGGGAAATAGGCCTCCAAGTTTTCCGAGGAAAAATGTTAATGAAGGGTCGCTTCAGCTGTCTTTGCCTTGCAAACAGTCTTTCTGTTGACCATCCTCAGCTCTTCACCCTCATAAAGCAGCTCCTCACTTCCACACAAATTCTTCATATTAATCTCCAGGCAATGTTTGATGGTGTTATCATAATCTACAGATTATTTAGGACTTTCCTATAATTAAGGTGGACTATTTATACAGGTTTCCCCAGGATAAATCTGACATTTTTGAGACATATTCTACCTGTTGTCCTAGAATAATTAATAGCATCCCATTCCACTCTCAAAAGTGTCCTGATTTGAGAAATGAAAGGACTAACTTGAAAAGATACATACACCCCCATGTTAATTGCAGCATTATTACAGTAGTCAAAATATGGAAATGACCTAAGTGTTCATCAATGGATGAATGGATAAAGAACATGTGATATATATAATGCAGTGATTCTCAACCTTCTGGCCCTTTAAATAGAGTTCCTCATGTTGTGACCCCAACCATAAAATTATTTCCATTGCTACTTCATAACTGTAATGTTGCTACTGTTATGAATCATAATGTAAATATCTGATATGCAGGATGGTCTTAGGCAACCCCTGTGAAAGGGTCGTTCGACTGCCAAAGGGGTCCCGACCCACAGGTTGAGAACCACTGATATAATGGAATATTATTCAGCCATTAAAAGAATGAAATTTTGCCATTTGCAAAAACATGGATAGAACTTGAGGGCATTATGCAAAGTGAAATGAGTCCAACAAAGAAAGAAAAACACTCTATGATCTCACTTATATGTAGAATCTAAAACAAACAAAACAAACTAATAAAACCAAGCCCACAGATACAGAGAACAGATCGGTGGTTGCCAGAGGTGAGAGGTCAGGGGTGAGAAGTCAAATAAATAAAAGGAGTCAAAAGGTACAAACTTCCAGTTGTAAAATAAATAAATCATGGGATATAATGTGCAGCATGGAGACTACAGTTAGTAAGACTATACTGCATGTTTGAAAGTGGCTAAGAGAGGAAATCTTAAAAGTTATCACAAGGAAAACAATTCTGTAACTATGCATGGTGATGGATGTTAACTAGACTTATTGTGGTGAACATTTTGCAATAAAGGCAAATATCAAACCATTATAGTGTACACCTAAAACTAATGTATGTCATATGCCCATTATATTTCAATTTAAAAAATAGGAAAAATGTGTTCTGGTTTGGATAAAAATTATATGATCATTTTATCTAACATGAATTAATTTGGTGTTAAAACATCCAGATTCATTCCTTCACTTCTCTTCACCTATCACACAGTACAGAAAATATAAGAATCTGTGCTACCCAGCTCTCTTTTTTGGTGCAGTACAAGCACCTGTTTTCAATGTATGTTTTTAGGAGAGCAATGCCTTTGTCCATAGCCATGTCTGTGCTTGTGGGCCATTCTGATTAGCAAGAGAAAGGTTCAGAGTGGAGATATGCCTTGCAGAATTTATATTTCAGTTAAATTTGTTCATTTCATGGGTGTGTTCATTTCATGCCAAAAAGCATGAGAAAAGAAGCTTTCCTATCTACATTTCTTGTCTTTTTAGGCTTCTTAGCAAATAAAAATTTTTTTCTTGAATTGCCCAGAAATCTGCTGGTGGACCAGCCCAGCTTCACTCACACTTCAAAAAACTTGAGGTGAAAGTGCTAACATATCAGACTCTATCAGTTCCAATGCCCTTTGAAAGAGTATAATTGCCGCCATAGATGGATACTAAATGGTCATGGAGTTAGGAAGACCAGGAAAGCATTAAAAGTTGGACAAATATATTTCAAAGTGTACCTTGTACTTAAGACTTTCTTTTATAGCAACATCGAGAAGAGAAATTGTATTTTCTTCTATAAATTTTAAGATGAAAAAATAAATAATTAGACTCAATGAAATGCATGACAAAAATGTGTAAATTTATGGTCTGAAATGCTCTCAGGACCTTGATTTTGTCATGGTCCTAATCAAGAGATAACCATAAAATTCTTGAATAGGATTCTCTATCTAAAAGGTGTTATAAGTGTTGAGATCCAAGAAAAGAGAACAAAGAGGTGAATTAAAAATAAACAAACAAAAACAACCAAGCTTTTCTGTAAGACTGGGAACTTTAGAATGGAAAAAAAACTTTTTTTTAATGGCTTAAATGTAAAAATAAGTTTATAATTGTAATAATCAGAATATTCTTGAAAGCAAGGTCATGTCTTCCTTTTGAAGAAGAATGGAGAAAGGAGAATCACAAAGGGAACTTGAAATAAGCAAGCAGTATCATTATGTTATAGAATAGTGAATTCTGCATCATAATTGGCAGCATCTAAGACTAATAACACATACTCCTTTGAACTTTGCCAAGACGTGAACTGTGTTCTTGATGGTGTCTGTAGGGATGATGTCTGAATTATCTCCATGTAGATAATCTTTTTTGGAGCTCAGAGTAAGTTGCACCGAAGTTGCCACCTCTTTAATGCTGTGAAATTTTCCATCTCGCTGAATACGGAGAACTTTTACCATATCCTTCCCGTAGCCAGTTCGGACAAACTCCACCTCATCATTCTGCAATGAAAACATAGTTGTTGATAAAGGCTAAGTGAAAGCAAAAGCTCAATTGCAATTTGTCTAAGCCTTAGTTGTATCATATACAGCAGGTCCTCGTTCTGGTATAATTGATCAGATGCCATACCAACTTAACTTTTATTTATATCAATTAGCCTGCGGTAAAACTGGTTACATAATAATGTTTTTCACTATACTTCCAAGAACCTATCAATATTAAGTGAGGAATTACTATAATTGTAATAATCAGAGTATTCTTGAAAGCAAGGTCATGTCTTACTTTTGAAGAAGAAGGGAGAAAGGAGAATCACAAGTAACCAATGAAACTATATCAGATTGGCCTGAACACAGGTAAATTGCTTTCTTGATAATAATAAGTAATAATAATAACTACTTCATGGGCTAAACAACTCTGTTTTATTTAATCCCTGCTAAGGTAATCCTTATAACAGCTCTGAGAACTAGTATTATTCCCATTTTACAGAGAGAGAAACTGAGGTTCCAAGAGTTTAAGCAACTTGCCCCCCTACACATAGCTAGTAAAGGATAGAGCCAAGCACTCACGCTCAGGTCTGTTGACTTTACCTTGTGTACTCCTAACCACTACATAAACAGCCTTTCCTGTATAAAATGCTTTGACTATGTGAACTGGAAATAATTGTATTCCCTTTTTTATAGAGAGTGATATTCTGGAGAAAATGTCCTGTGATCAATAAAAACAATTGGAAAATTGATTCTTCTACCTGCTGGCAGGAAGCAGGGTAATTAGTGACAGGGCCCAGATTACCTTCAGGAGTGCGGAGCCAGGGCCGTCTGACGCAGGGAAAGCTACGCTTTAGCAAAGAGACACTCAATAAAAGCTTCGTGATTGAGTCACTAGTACTCTTGTCTGAAGCTGGGCCCTCACTAGCTAATACGCCCGTCTCCACTGCTGGGTTCCGCAGGACTTGTGCCTGGCTTTATTGGTGTTGGAGAGGAGAGGCAGGAGGGAGCAGAGGAACAAAAACACATTTTTTTTCAGCATTGAAATTGCACATTAAAATTTTAGTGAAAGAAGGGGACAAAAGTAAATCAAAAACAACGTTCAGTGAGAATGTGGGGAAGGGCACAGGGAAGGAAGCTGGCCTGCTCATGGCACGTAGGTGATATGCTAAGAAACCCCAGGGCTGCCTACAAATGTTTGCATAAAAAAATCACCAGGTCCCCTGGGAAAGTTTTTAAAATTCTAGCCAACATCAGAAATTATTGTAATGTTCTTAATCACAATGAGATGGGAGGCTGTCTTAAATCTTGGGGATAAACCCTAAAAATGCGTGGTATCTGAATTCAATCCTTTCTCTGTGGGAAGAACACATTGAAGGGACAACTCTTGGAGAGACCCCTCAAAAGCCTCTGACCCAATCGTTCGGAGACTTAAAATTCAAAAACAGGACCAATAAGAAAACAGAAGGAGCAGACTTAAGGGATCCTAATGAGAACTATAATAGTGACAGGGAAAGGGGCGTGTTGTATAGTTATAATGGCTTTGGGATCAGAGCAGGCCCAAATGCTGCCTTCCTACTTACTAGTATAGGTTGTAGCTTGTGACAAATAATTTGATGTCTCTGAGCCTCAGCGTTCCCATTTGTACCAATGAAGACAGACACTCCTTCTGGTAGGGTTGCTGGTGAGTGTGAAAGACCTGGTTCAGTTCCTAGTACCTAGCGATGCAGAGAGGCCAACCCTAATAATAGTGGTCACATCCGGCCTGGCTGTGGGCACAGCAGCAGCAGAGAGAGCCGAGGGGACCTTGAGAAGGCCCAGTCTTTGGAGTGGAGAGCGCTACTGGTAGCAGCTAAGAAAGACCCTGATGTGCCTTGAGCAACAAGAGATTCCACTGGGGGAGAGAGGCACCTGGCTGGCTTGGGGCCCTGGGATGATATGGGCTGGGATCCAGAACCAAAGTCTCTGAAATTACCCATTGTCCCCAGCACAGTAAGACCCAACAAATGTTATTCCTCAGTTCCATCCTCTGCCACAAAATCCTCAAGGTACAGTAGGTTAGTCTGTGAAAGCAAGTGGCCCCTAAGTGATACATATGAAGATTAAATGACAGCCACTCTTCCTAGCCCCAGCCTGCTCATCTCTCCAGCTTCATGACTTGCCATACTATTTGGAACTGCTTCGCTGTCCTGAGCCGACTGTGGTTGCCTAGGCTCTGCATGCTTTTCAGCCTGTAGACCTTTGAATTTACCACTCTTTCTTTCTTGAACACTCCTTCCCTTCCTCACTACCCAACTACCAACCTCTTCACCTGTCTAACATCTAGGCATCCTTCAATCTCAGATGTCACTTCTCCCGGTAATGTGCCCCAGCCCCTCAGGTCTGGAGTAGATGCCCTTCAGTGCGCTCTCAAAATAGTTGTTTTGTCAAATTGTATTGCAATTGCCTCATTTTGTGTCTAATTTCTTCAGGAATGGTAAATTACGGAAGCAGGAACAATTTTTATCTTAGTTGTTATGGCAACCCCAGGGGTCCGCACAGTGCCTGGAACATGAAGAGGCACTTAATAAAGTGCTTAATAAATGTGTCTTGAATGAATGAATGGTGCACCACCACTTCCACCCCTGTGTGGTGACACAGAATAGTTCAAGAAAATAACCCAAAGATTTCAATGCAGGAAGAGCTGCTTTAGCTTAGTCAGGAAGTTCCTCTTCCTGGGAAGGTGGGGAAGGCCCCTTCTTTCCTCTGATCACCACAGCCCGGAGATCACAGGCACAGCTGGCCAGAGAACAAAGGCCCAGGAAGGGCAGAGCTGGGTGTAGACAGAGCCAGCGATGCAACACAAAGTGTTCGCATTGCTAACAAGACCGAGCGCTCCAGCGCAGAGCAGCCGTCCTGGAGTTCATGCACGTTGCACACGAGAGAGGTCAGTGGTCCTCAGCCAGCTCCTGACTCGGCCTCGGCACCCGAGCAAGGCTGGAGTAATCATGCTTGCCGAGCAATGAGTCTGAATAAAAAGGACACAACCGTCTGAGCTGGAACAGAATGGAACAGGAAAGTTGTGGGACACCCAAGGTCTCTCAGCAGGACCCGACAACACGGGTGATAGCCGGGACCACAGCTGACAGTGTTCTTTCTAATAAGGCTTCCTCACTTCCATCGCCAGACAAATCAGAAGGGCCAGAACCTGCTGTGCATTATGCCCAGTACGGCACAGAGATCCACACCCGAGACCGCTGCCCAGTAAAATGCAAAGGCCGCTCTCATCTGGCGCGTGGTCAGGGGCTGAGAGTGTGGGCTCTGGGCTCTGGGCTCTGGAGTCAGGCAGGCCAGGTGTGGATCTTTGTCCTGCTGCCTAGTAGCTCTGTGAATGGAGGCAAATTTCTCCATCTATAACATGGGAATAATAGCCATGCACATTTCTTAGGATTGCTGTGAGGATTGCATAAGAAAAAACATCAAGTACTTAGAAAAGTGTCTGGCAAATAGTAAGTGTTCAATAAATGTTAGCTATAGTTATCATTGATAAATGATAATTCTATTTCAAATGTTTGCATCAGAGGGTCCCGTGGTTACTGTTCGCAATAAATACCCAGACTGCACACCGATCCAGAACCCGGGTGGCGAAAATCAAAGACTGCTGCCGTGATGAGGCCTGAGTCAGCCTTCATACTTCTGCTAGGACATCCTGCCCCAGGCTGTGCGGCTTGAGGACATGGTTACAAAAGGACTCGATTTCCTAGAGAAACGCTTTGGACAAAATATC